ATACTCAACGCTTTCAGCTTTCAAATATGATTTAAACGTGATAAATAATATAATTAAGGGTCCAGTTAGTCAGGATCTAGAAATATATTTCAATATAGCATATCTGCGGGGCATTTTATCGGCAACTATTATAAAAGTAGGTCAGCAATACTTTCAAAGCCCAAGGAGAACCTTAACATTGTTATATATTTAAATCGAATTAGAATATGCTTATTTAAATATACGAATATCGATTTTTATTTTAATACCGATATTTTTAATTATTTATTCACATAATAAAATTGTAACTGAGTCGAATCTGTACGTCAAATATTTTTTGGAAAATCTTATTAAAATAGTCGTTATTATCGCTGAATATGGTTTTTAGAATTTTTGTCTGTCTGTCTGGGAACGCATGACGAGAAAACCACTTTTACTTTACTTCTTTTGATGAAATTTTGTATGATGATAGCTGGTTATCCGGGTCAACATATAAAATACTTTTTACTGAGAGAAAATATCTCATCTCTGAGAAATGTATATTAACCGTTAAAACGTATCTAACCCGAGCGAAGCGAAGGTAAGTCGCTAGTATAATATACAATTATCGATTGTTATCTCAGTTAAGCAATCTAAGGTTATGCTTAAGTTACTGATGAGTAAATAATAGTCCTTTACAAATAGGTTTGGACATGAAAAGATAAAATTATGAGTTTTTTTCATCACTATCGATGTATGAAAAGTTCTTCCAGTTATTGGTATTTAGCTTATTCTTATATGAAAATGCTAAATCCTAGTACGGCAACAGAGAAAATCATATTTTTTGTGTTGACAACATACTACAATAAGTTTTTGCAATATTTATAAATTATTGTTCTGTATCATATGTTTGTTTTGTATTTAATAATGTGTACGTTTTTTGTTTAATAAAAAATATTATTATTATTATTTTACACTTTAAAATTTCTTACGAAGGTAATTTTTCTATACACGGGCCTAAGCGAAGTGTAAAGTAAGGGAGGGGGTGATTTAAAGTGGTAACTAGGGTTGTGACAAAACAAAATTTTTATTATTGTTGTTGAAAGTTTGTACGTAAAATATGGATGACATCACAACAAATACTGGTACAACCATCGAGAATTATTCGATTTACTTTGTTTAAAAAAACGTCTGTGTTTACTTATGTACGCACGTAAGAAGTTATACTTCTTTGGCTTAACAGAACAAAATAGCTAAAAATTTCTTCATCATACCCCTTTCAGCTAACTTCATCGTGTCGCTTTTAGGCTGTCGGTTTGCGGCGTGCGCGCGCTTTGTAAAAATTTTACTCTCATATGTTTTTCCAAACGTGCCAAAAGAAGTATATCTTCAAAATAAATAAAATATAACTTTTTCATTAAAAATACTACATAAATAGACAAATATTAAGACAATTATTTCTCTGTGTGGAAGTTATGTAATGGAATTATCATGTTATCCAGCAGCCGACAATGGTTGCAATTATATTATAACCATACATGTAACTAGGCCAAGGTCGACTCGTCCGAGCCTCCATGTGAGCTCTCGTGTTACTCTAACTGATTACATAGATATATCCTTAACATTGACCATTAAATCACGTGTGTCTGTACACACAAGCAAAAATCATTCTTTTAATCAGATTATATATAATTAAAACAAAAAGAAGTTGTATGTATGTATGTATACAGCTCTTTTAACGTCCCACTACTGGGCACGGACCCTCTTTCAATACAAGGGGGATCAAGCCGTACTACACCACGCTGGCTAAATATGGATTGGTGGACTTCACCTGTCTTTCGAAACTTGCTAGGTTCTCACACATGCAGGTTTCCTCACGATGTTTTCCGTCAACGTATGACAAGTGGTCATCATGTTAGAAATGATTCGTACATGGAAATATCAGAGGTACGAGACTAAATAGGGATTCAAATCGGCTTCACTCGGTTTCCCAAGCGAGCGGGTTACCACTGGGCTACCACTGCCTATAAGTTAAAAATGAAATTAAGCCATAGGGAATGTATGCTATTTGTATTCATTTATTCCACAAGAGATGCAATACATTTACACGTAATATATGAAGCTGATGAATTTGTTTGTTTGCTTATTTATTTTCTTTAATACTAATAGAGCTGCGGTGAAAAGCTAGTAGTGTTTTTAAATTTAAAAAAAACTTCAATCAAAATCTGTTAAGCTATCTTGAAATATGCGCGATTAAGTAAAAACTTAATCCGGCAAAAGTCATTTTCTTTTATTCCATATTCTTTTTTCAGTTGTTTGTAATCCAAAAACACGATTTTTACAATTAATTATCCTTTATTGCACTTACTATAAAAAGGTAATAAGTATAGATTTTATACTTTCTTAGATTTAGGCGAATATTTGACATTTTAAATAAAAGTATGTTTTCAGATTTTTTTGCGGATCTATTTTGTTTTTTGATTCCCGACGTTTCGAATGCTTTACAGCAGTCATGGTCACGGGGGAGACTCTCTCATGCTTTACAATAATCATGGTCACGATAAATCCTAAAAGATAGTTTCTAAAGGTAATTTTTTCAGACATTGTCTGAAAAAAACTTAAGGTATGCAAATGTAGTTTTATTGCTTAAAGCCATTTCTACTAGACAACCTTTGAGAGGATTTAATAAGACGTTTAGAAAGACAAATTTAGTCTGCTGTAATGCAATATTGAACTTAAAGGACTTTTTGCGAAATAATTTGCTCAACAAATGTAGTAGCAGTGCACTTATAATTTATTCCAATGCATGACCTGCCGTTATCTTGTACACGCGGTCGTGATTCGAGCGTTCGCGGAAACTACGAGCCTCTAATGCTCTATTGCAATGCCATGTAGATCATTGATTGATAAATAAGCTATTTAAATGTATAATGTATTTATTATTAATTGACGACACGTTTGGCTCAGTTTGTAGCGACCCTATTTAACTGCCTCGGTGGTGTAGTGGCTAGCATGTACGGCTGCACACCCGGAGGTCCTAGGTTCGAGTCCCGGGTCGGGACAAAGTTTAGTTATTGAGTTTTTCTGTATAGTAAGTCTCAGTAACAGCCCGGAGTTGGGAAGTTGGCGGACTTTTACCCCCGTGCCTCGGAGAGCACGTAAAGCCGTCGGTCCTGCGCCTTAACTCTCACCGGTCGTGTCGAGTGATCGTCCCACCGGAGTATGAGAGTGATAGGAATAGAGAATGCACTTGTGTCTGCGCGTACATTTGTGCACTATAATATCTTCTGCGCAGTTGGCTAGTCTCTATGAGATTGGCCGCCGTGGCCGGAATCGGTCAGGAGAACATCATTATTCCCTTTATATATTTTTCAGTATAATTTCACCAATACCATGAATGTACGTACACCATAAATATTGCTAATTCGTTTTACCAGATTGGAAAATCGAACCTGCGACCTTTGTTTTGTTGACAATGCTAGCTAATCTCAAACCCTCAGATACTCGTAAAATTTAAAATTATATTATGCCAACACCTTGGCATTTACATTGTTTATTAAACGCAAAACGCACATGTCGCCCTTGAGAAGGTTCACACGTCTATTTACACTACAGTATAGATACACGATAAAGGAGCGTGCTTAATTAATATTCAATTAGTAACATGCGAATTCATAGGTCCATGTAACAAATTGAGAAGATAAGATTTTGAATCAACTTTTAAAAGGGAGGTACTCAATTCTGGTATGTTTTTGTATTTGTTCGTATGTTACATGATATCCTTGTCTCTTATGAGCTGCCTCATTGGTCTGGCCAAGTACAGTTATTGAGTTTTCTATGAAGAAGTTTTCAGTAACAGCCTGGAATTTATTAACACGTAAAATTGTTAGTCCCGCGTCTGATCTCTCACTGGTCGTGTGAAATTGTCCCGTCAATCTGTTCAGAGTGCAAACAATAGGAAGTACACTTGTATTAGCACAAATCATTGTTTACTATAATATTATCTGCGCAAATGGCTATTTTTAGTGAGATTGGTCGCCGTGGCGGAAATCGGTCAAAAGGAGAGATCAGACCTCAAAGGCATTTCAATATTAAAACCACTCATGGTGTAATAATTACTTTCAGTTCTTCCCATCGCGACGGAAACCAAAAATCTAAATAAATCAGAAAAGATAGTTTTAATTAAAATATTGCATATTCGCGTAAATGTAATAAAATATTATTTTGAAATTAATTTTAAAACCTCTTTAGTTAAAACGTAATTCTAAGGAACGACTTGTTTCCTCGATTGCAAGCATCACTATTAAGTAATTATCTCTTATATTTCTTTTATTGTATATAACAATAAAGGATATTGCTATTCATATTAAAAATAAGGGCGAATAAAAAATAATTATGACTGTTGATGAAGGAAAATTCTGTGGTTGCGGTATATGAAATATTATGACGTATTATACACGTTTATTGCATTATACAACGAAAGAAGAAGATGATAGATAATAGATATAAAGCAGCAACGTTTCCAACAAGATTTCCTGTTTCCGTGTGTAGCACACGGATACAGCAAATAAAAATGGTTGCGTTCCATTTCTACCACTCATTTTGTTTTCTAATGTAAAATAAGTCATTTTTAAGTGCAGGAGTTTCTAAGTGCAAAAAAATAAACTTAACCTACCGAGCTGGAAACTTATTCTTTTAAATCCCAACGATTTTTAAGTTCAAGAATTTTTAAGAGTAAAACGTGATTTTAGGTGCAGGAGTTTCTATATGCATAAAAAATAATAATAACCTTAACCTACCGAGCTTATCCGAGCTACTTATTCTACTTATTTATTTATTAGTCTATGCGTCCTTCCTTATGATTTATATATTTTATAAAGAACGAATAATAATTATTTTTTCGTCCTATTAAAAGATGAATAGACACTCTGAGCGATAAATAAATTAAAGTAGCATAAATTAGTGCGTTGTTGTATTTCCTAATATGATGATGATGTTCTCCTGACCGATTCCGGCCACGGCGGCCAATCTCATTGAGACTAGCCAACTGCGCAGGAGATATTATAGTGCACAAGTGTACGCGCAGACACAAGTGCACTTTCTATTCCTATCACTCTCATACTCCGAACGACTGCTCGACACCACCGGTGAGAGTTAAGGCGCAGGACCGACGTCTTTACGTGATCTTCGAGACATGGGGGTGGACACCGCCAACTTCCCAACTCCGTGCTATTACTGAGGCTTACTATACAGAAAGACTCAATAACTAAACTTGGCCCGACCCGGGACTCGAACCCAGGACCTCCGGGTGTGCAGCCGTACATGCTAGCCACTACACCACCGTGGCAGTTAATTTTTCCTAATATACCACTAACAGATTTCTGGTGTCGTGATGCAAAACGCAACATTTAATTTCTGGCGTAAATTCTTGTAAAATAAAAGGAAAATACTATTTTACCCTTTTCCCGGCTACGCCTACATGGTATTGATTGCATGATGGAATTGATGTGTGGATGATTTTTGGTGGAATATATTTTGGATTTGGGGAACAAAAAATCAAAATAAATTTGCGAAATAATCCGAAAAGATAGTTTTATTTAAAATATCATTTTGTCATAGCTAGAAATCTCAAATTTTCGTCAACATTTTACTATTTAATTAAACTTCCTGTACCTCTACATCCGCGTCTCATGTGAGGTCAACACTCAAGACTGTTGTTTTGTATAGCAGTTGCTAAATTGACTAGACGCTAAGGTTATTTTTCATACAAATTCATTGTTGACACAAAACATAATTAGCTGGTATAAAATTTTTCCTACTATTAATTTTGTCTGTGAGTCCGCTCATATGATTGCTGTAAAGTGGTGCCAAGGAAGTGGCGAGTGAAGCGGAGTCAAATCCATAAAATCTCGCACTTCTGATATTTTTATGTGCGAATCATTTTCAATATGATTAGGTACCACTTGTCTTACGGTGAAGTAAAACATCGTGAGGAGACTGCAGAAAGAAAAAGTTTTCAAAAGACATGTGAAGTCCGTCAACCCGCATTTGGCCAGCGTGGTGAACTATGACCTGATCTGATGGAATTAAAGGGAAGCCCGTGTCCAGCAGTAACATAAATGTATGAGTTTAGTTATGTAACAAATACATTTACACACACACACAAGTGCGATATTACATCACATAGTTTGATATGATTATTACTATACGATTAATACAAATTAATGTCATACATAGCTGTGATCTAATACCTACTGCGTACATATTTATTATTGCCTCCGTCGCTAGCATGTATGGCTGCACATCCGGAGGTCTGGGTTCGAGTCCCGGGTCGGGCCAAGTTTAGTTATTGAGTCTTTCTGTGTAGTAAACCTCAGTAACAGCCCGTAGTTGTGAAGTTGGCGGGTTTCACCCCTGTGCCGTGGCAGAGCACTTAAAGCCGTCTGTCCTGCGTCTTGGCTCTCAGTGATCATGTCCGAGTAGTCGTCGTAGTGACAGGAATAGAGAGTGCACTTGTGTCTGCGCGAACACTTGTGCACTATAATATCTCCTGCATTTGAATGTTCTCAATGAGATTGACCGCCGGGGCCGCAATCGGTCGAGAGAAATTTATTATTATTTAATATTACATATTTTTTCACAATTATGAAAAATTACAGTTTTGTATGGAAATACATTTCAATATTATTGTATTTTAAACAATGTTTTGTACATTAAATTGTAACTGTACTATTTAATAAAGAGATATTATTGTCATATCGGACCTCATGACAGTTCTGTTAGGAACTGACGCACTATTTCGAAGTGTTAATCGGGTTTTGTAAATAAAAAAATATCTTTTTACATATTGAACTGTATTTTTTGAGTGAAAGATAAAGTAGTTCTTTAAATACCTTAACAAAGTTAAGTCATGCTACAATTACTCTCCCATTCACATAATACTATGTTAGATTTACGCGAATATTAATTTGAAATATAACTATATTTTTTTTATTTTTCCACGGTTTTCTTTTGATTTTTCATACCCGACATATATTTACTGTAAAGCACAGTCCAAAAAAAATTAATTAAAGCGCTATTGAAAATTTATTAGGTCTATACTAGACTCCTCAAACTTTAGCATAACCAAATTATTTCAGCTTTAAACCCCAATCATATAGTTATTTTACACATTTACAAGTATATGTACACGAATTAGAAGCTTGTATAAAAAATAAAGATACTGCTCCAGGTAATGATTCAATTTCTTTTTCAATGATTAAACATTTACCCTATTCAGCTAAAATGAGTTTACTTCATATATTTAATAATATTTTAACATTTGGTGTGATTCCTTCACAATGGCGTAATATTTCGATAATTCCTTTACCTAAACCTGGGCGTAACATTGAAGATATTTCATCAATAAGGCCAATATCATTAATATCTTGCATTTGTAAAATTTTTCATTCAGTTATAAATAAAAGAATAGAGTGGTTTTTAGAAAAATATAATTGTTTTCCTTCAGATATGGTAGGATTTAGGAAATCTCGTTCGTGCTTAGATAGTTTAAGTATTCTTGTATCTAGAATACAAATGGGATTTTGCAATAATGATGTAACTTTAGGATGCTTTCTTGATTTAGAAAATGCTTACAACAACATTGATACTTTTAATTTATTACAAAATTTGAATAGATTAGGTGTAGGCCCCCTAATTTGTAGTTATATTTGGAACTTTTTAACAGAAAGATATTTAGAAATTAAAATTAATAATTTGAGTGTTACTCGAAAAACTAGTCAAGGAATTGCCCAAGGAGATCCTTTATCCCCCCTTCTTTTTAATATTGCGACAATAGACATCTGTAAACTTTTTCATAATGTCAATGTTTCACAATTCGCTGATGATTTCCTGCTTTATACTACAAATAAAAATATAGAAGATGCCACAAATACAATGCAAATCGCTATCAATGTTTTCTCAAAAGCAATTGATCAGCTTGGGTTAAATATCTCTCCTTCAAAAAGTAAAATTTGCCTTTTTAAGAAAGGTAAAAATAGGAAGTCGATTAAAGTTTTTGTGAATGAAAAAGCATTAGAAGTTGTGGAACATGTAAAATATTTAGGATTATGGTTAGACAGATCTCTAAGGTGGGGTAAACATGTTAATGAAGTCTATGCAAAAACTTCAAAATTTTTAAATATTTTTAAAGTTTTAGCCGGATCTGGTTGGGGGATTCATCCCAAACACTTAAGACGAATTTATTTATCAATTATCCGCAGTCGCATGGATTACGCTAGTTTCCTTTTTGATGATTGCAGTGAAAGCCATTCAAAGAAATTGGATAAAATTCAAAATCAGGCTTTACGAGTAATAGGTGGGTTTATTAAGAGCACACCAACTCATGTAATGGAAGTCGAGTTGAGTATTCAGCCACTTCGTTGCCGTAGATATTACTTGGCTGGTAAATTTTGGCATAAATCATTTTCCATTCAAGATAATATATTAATTAAAATTCTTCACGAGTGTAGTTCGTCTAATATTTTTGCTTTGTGGAAAAGAAATCGTATTCCATTGTTAACTGTAATTCATGATGCTTTTAAAGACACTATCATGCATCGTAGCAAAGAACTTGAATTGTTTTCACTAAACACTTGGGCTAGTAACATAAATTTATCGAATTTAATTAAATTACATATTGGTAATGAATTTAATCCTAAAAGGTTATATAATGTAAATGAAATGAAAAATAAATGTGAAAAATATATTGAAGACCAATTTAACGGTTTTTATAGAATGTTTACAGACGGATCAAAACAAAAAGACTTAAGGGGTGCAGCATTTTTAGACTTTCAAACTTTAGATTTTATTAAAATTATGATTGATGGACATATCTCAATTATGCATGTTGAACTGTTGGCTATTTTGGAAGCATTATGCTATGTTCAGACAATAAATACCGATAAAATTGTAATTTTCTCTGATTCTAGGAGTTCACTTCAACATATAGCTCGATGTACATCTAATATTAGAAGCACACCAGTAGCTTACGAGATTTTGAAATTGATACATAACTTTAGTAAAGAGGGTAAAAAAATAATTTTACAATGGGTTCCGTCTCATGTTCATATATTGGGAAATGAGATGGTAGATAGATTGGCTAAAGAAGCGACATATGAAGAAAACTTATTGGTAGTTGCGCCGTATTATACAGAATGTCTTTATTTGGTTAAAAAAAAGGTTTTTAATATCTGGAAAGAGTTTTTTGATAAAAGGTCAAAAGAAAAAGGCATCTGGTATAGGACTATTCAGGCTGAACCAATAATTCGTCCTTGGATTGACATGACCTGTTTGAGTAGACAAGATACTGTCCTTGCTATGCGCCTCCGCTCTGGACACATTCCATTAAATAAATTTGCATTTTTAATGGGTAAAATTGCTACACCAAATTGCTTGCAATGTGGAATTGTAGAAGATGTTTTCCATATATTAATGGAATGTGTGCGGAATGAGGCGCAACGTCAAAATTATTTTACAAATAATTCAATTTTTTTAACGACTGGAGGTATAAATATTGTATTATCAAATCCTTCTTCTAATGTAGCAAGATTAATTTATAAGTTAGCAAAAATTGTAACAAATGCAAGTAATACATAATAATTGTACGGGTGTACCTCAATACAATTTGTTGTTAAATATTTATAAAATGTAATTAAGATACCATTGTAAACGTAACAGAGCGTCATAGTCGCATATTAAGCGACAAAGCTCTTTAAATGGAGATTAAAAAAAAAAAAAAAAAAGTATATGTGCCAGTATCATACATATACAAAAACCAAAATGCACAATTAGCGTCTCAAAAGTGTCCTTAAAAAGAAGCGCATTATTCGAAATTATGCGCTTTTTTCAAATCTCTTTTGTTCATTGCTTTTCGGATGACAAAATTAAAACGCACATTGTTTCCTTTAAAAAAGTACTTTATATGATGTGCGAAAGTTCGAATTTGTGCTTAGACAATTAGAACTTTCGATTTTTTAATTTTATTATTTGGTTTGACTTAACGTCACATGTCGACGTCACTTTTTGAAGAGATATTTGTTACGAAATGTGTATCTATGTTTTAATACATCAATGTGTATTGTCTATACATATAATAAAATTGTAACTAAGCCGAATCTGTACATTAAATATTTTTTGGAAAATGTTATTAAAATAGACATTATTATCGATACAGAAGCGGAATCTATAGTTTGTAGAATTTTTGTCTGTCTGTTTGTCTGTTACCGCATCACGGAAAAACCACGGGAGGGATTTTGATGAAATTTGGTATGATGATAGCTGGTTATCCTGGTCAACATATAGGATACTTTTTACCGCAAGAAATATCTCATTTTTGAGAAAAAATACAAAAACTGCAATGTAAGAGTAT